CGTTATTGAGCTTTTTTTTCCTACCTATGCTGATAGCCTTCAGAGGCTATTTCAGCTTCGCCCTAACGTTTGTAGGTGAGCTCGCGGGGCTCAACCGGAGAGTTGCTAACACTGACCCTAGCAAGAGCAGTGCTTCGCAGAATCTACCACCGGATCGGAAACGTGACCCACTGAGAAGATCCGGCGAGAAACTGAGTGGGCGGTGTCTATGGATTAGTTCGCTCGTCGAGCCCTTCGTCGCAAGCGACGGGTTCGACGAGGACGGTGACCGGTTATTGAGCACTAAGCAAATAAATGTCCAGTAAAGTTTGCTCATGGAATGCTTTTCGTGATTTTCACACTAATGAACTGTTATAAGTTTTTGTGTGACATGTTCAGTAATCTTGTTCACCGCTTCGAAATAGTGACGTATGGACTTTTCTTTTGAGCATTTCTAAAGTCATACCTTCTTAGGTTAATTGAGGCCCTCAGCGCAAAAGTGGCCTAAGCTTAACATAGTTAGTATGGAGGCAATTAGGTTGGAATTTTCATAAATTTTAATTTGAGCAAGCAAAAACAAAACAATACGCGCAAAAATAATTTTTACAAAGCTATCTGTTATCTGTGGGTGAGACTAGGGATAGGCCGGTTTTCCATCAAAATTTATTATATTTTAAATAAATTCCAATATACGTCATAATATAAGCTTGAATATGAAAAAATTGTGGGTTAGGCCACTTTTGTGCTTATGGCCTCAGTTATACTGTGTTAACCACTGGATAATCAGACATAAAACGCTTTGACAAAATGGCCGCCTGACGTGATTTTTTCATATGAGACGCATTGTAGACATTAAAAAAAAACAAGTTATTTATTATTTCCGATATAATGCTTACAGTCTTTTGATATGTTTAATAAATAATATAATTTCCACGTAACCGTTAAATGTATGTAAAACTTCCGTTTAAAACTAAAAACTATTAGATTAAGAAGAGACTTTTTATGTAAACTGATTATGGTGAATTGGTGGAATAAAAACATTATTGTCCGAAGATTGGCCTTTTTTATTTTCACTCTATTTTCAGTTTTGCAAATTTAGTTTTGGCGTTTAATGGTATTTTAGTTGTCGATAGACGATAGTCAGCACTCGATTACTATCTATAGACAACCCATACCCTGGGCCATGAAGGTCAAGTACCTGGGCGTTACCCTGGACGCATCGATGACATTCCGCCCGCATATAAAATCAGTCCGCGACCGTGCCGCGTTTATTCTCGGCAGACTCTACCAAATGATCTGTAAGCGGAGTAAAATGTCCCTTCGGAACAAGGTGACACTACAAAACTTGCATAAGGCCCGTCATGACTTATGCGAGTGTGGTGTTCGCTCACGCGGCCCGCACACACATAGTTTCTATTTCTGCCGTGAAGCAGTAACGCGTTTCGGTTTGAAGTATGGGGCAGCCGTTGTAACTATACTGAGACCTTAGAACTTATACCTCAAGGTGGGTGGCGCATTTACGTTGTAGATGTCCATGGGCTCCAGTAACCACTTAACACCAGGTGGGCTGTGAGCTCGACCACCCATCTAAGAAATAAATAAAAAATAAAAACATTGAAAATAAGGTATAGTTATTTTAGAACGTGGAAAAACTCCACTGACAGTAGTCACGTATCCACGTATTATAATACTAGGCGGGGTGTGCGCTCATCTGCCTGTCGACACAAATGAAAATATTGTACTTAGTGTAATTAAATTATTAAAAAAAATTCATCAACCCGATGACTAGTATTAATAGTAGGTGTCCAGCTGAATGACTATAATTCATTATTAATTTAATATATCATTTACGTATAACCATAAAATGCGTGCAATTCGGTGTAAATAATGTTGTCAACCAGATGGTATTTATTAGCCGTCTAAGCCATATGGAATGTTTACGTTGTAAATTGATAATTATTAGGTATAGGTACTTATTTAAATTAAGAAGCCATTAAAAAAAATTCTATAAATTATTTAAAAAAAAAAAAAAAACTATAAGGGTTTCTGTGTTATTGGTATTAAAATTAATATGAAATTTTTGGAAGTTTTTTTTTTTTTTTTAATGCCCTTGTAGGCAGACGAGCATACGGCCCAGCTGATGGTGAGTGGTTACCGTCGCCCATGGACTTCAGCAATGCCAGGGGCAGAGCCAAGCCGCTGCCTTTTGTTAAACAATCATGCTCAATGGGCTGGATCGAATTCCACACAAGAGCTTATAGTCTGGATTAAAACATAAGATATTTAATGGTAAATGACATGGTCTGAGAACTAAGTAAGCCGGGTATATAATTATAAAGCCGGATGCTTCGTGATTTGGATACCAACAGATCTACGAATCGAGTGCAAAATGGTAATTTATTGACCAACGATTGACACAAGGAATATGATAAACGCATTATTTCGGGAAAATGCAACTTCTTTCATTCTTTTTTAATTCCATATTGAACTTTTTTTTTTAATTAATCTAAAATTTTCCGAAGTAGTGCGCTCAATAACTTTATGCTTGGTTCAAGAACTTTAATCACCTCTTTGGTATTCTAGATACTGACACTCCACCACAAGGTACCAGTATGAATCCATGTCCAAGTCAATATATGTGTTAGAGTTACTTGACATTAAATTATTTTTCTGCGGTTAGTTCGGAGGTATTGCCGCTTGACTTGGAAATGCCAATGAAGGGAGGATGAATATGAGGGCTCAGCTGGAAGGAGAGGATATGCGGAGGTCCCAAAGAGGTCTGTCAGCTCGAAAGTAGCTGATCAACGAGAGCATCTACCACCGGATCGGAATCGCTGTAAAGATCCTGCCATAGCTCACAAAGAAGCTTGAAAATGCTCGTCCTTATCCTATCCATCGTATCTTAGCGCAGCGCCTTTGCATATTCAAAGTTTCCCTTCTTTTTAGACCATCGGAGAAACTCAACTAGTAACTGCAACCTACATGGAACTATCGGGTGGCTTCTTCAGGGCTATTCAGCCTAAAATTTACGTAAACAGATCTTTTGGGGCAGATAACACATTCCCAGGTACTCTGTCAGAAGAAGCGGTCTACTTTCCAGCACAAAATGTATACAACTGGTAGATTTAACCTTCCTGCTTATTTGTACCGCAAAACATTCACCTATTTCAGTCTGATTGGCAGTACAGCCGTTTAAGTAATACTAGCGACCCGCCCTCGCTTCGCTTCGGAAACTGTAATTTATTATTGATTTCTCCACTATTTAATGGATGTTATTATACATATTATAAACCTTCCTCTTCAATCACTCTATCTATTAAAAAAACCGCATCAAAATCCGTTGCGTAGTTTTAAAGATTTAAGCATACATAGGGACAGACAGATATAGGGATAGAGAAAGCGATTTTGTTTTATACTATGTAGTGAAGATACGATATTTTTCTTTTATTTTTCGTTTCTTTGAATTTTTGTAACTTATGGTTGGAATAAATAATTTTCATCATCATTATTATTATTATTATTCAAATATGTCGATGGTTTGAAGTCGACCTAAACGCCCACTCAGCTAAAATGGACAATCGAGTTCACACCCCATTTAATATTAAGCTGTTTCCGCTATTCATAGGTACTAATAGACTACTACTGCTCTGCTGGTGCTATCCTACGAAATAGAACCCTTCATAGCTTCGCCGTAGAAATGCTATAAATACATAATAATATATAGGTAGGCAGCGGCTTGGCTCTGCCCCTGGCATTGCTGAAGTCCAATGGCGACGGTAACCACTCACCATCAGGTGGGCCGCATGCTCATCTGCCTACAAGGGCAATAAAAAAATACGTATAAACCCGGTGTGTTTAATTGGTAAGTTATTTACGATGCTGATACTACGATCGGATTTTGTCGTAATAGTGACAAGATCTATCCAAGAATCTTTGAGTTAATCGCTGGGATCAAAAAGTCATTATTCATCTACCTCATGTGTCAGGGCGCAACACTTTTAACAATTCCACTCTCGGTGTGCTTAGGCTCTTCAAGCACCGGTCACCGTCCTCGTCGAACTCGACCTCGACGAAGAGTTTTTGTTAGTAGTTTCAGCGAAGCACTGCTCTTGCTAGGGCTAGTGTTAGCAATTCACTCAGGATGAGCCCGTGAGCTCACTTACGAAGTTGGAATAGTCTCTTAGACTACCAACGATTAGGTAGAGAAAGAAAAAGATACCAAGAGACGCCGTTTTACGTGATCCTGCCACCGGCTAGCTTGGAGTTTCAGTAAGTCTCTCCATTTGGTCCTTCCAACGGTAATTAGGATGGTCGACCGTCCGATGACCCGTAAACATAATGCATGAAATATGATTTCTCAACAATGGTTTGGCGCGATGCGAATCCTACCAACGATCAGATAAGGGAAAAGAAAAAAAATAGATGTGTGGTGTCGTGGGACACCGGATAGGAACGAAGTTCCTTATTATAAAAATATTATTATTATTTTAAGGTCTATTCGAGGTATAAAGAAAATAAAACTGGAGGTTTTGCAACAACCCACGGTCGTTCGGTAACGTGCGAACTTATTGTGGTACACTTCATTCACGGTTGTTTGCATAAGAGTTAGTGTATTGCGCAAACGAACGCTCTGAGATCGTGGTCAATGAATGATAAAAAAATATGTTATTTTTTGTACGTTATTACAAAGTTGAGTCGTACACTGTGTGCATTACTAATAAAAATCTTACGTTACGGACGTTTTTTCCCGGTTAAGGTACCCCTCCGCATCGTCCCATAAGGAATTTCGTTCCAAAATGTTAACATCGTCGACCTTAGGCATCAGCTAACGCAAGCGAGCTTTGAGCGCTGCTGATCCACACCAGAAATCTTCGGGTTATACGTGTGATTCGCAACTACAATGTCTGCATCAGTAAATACATTTATTATGCTACTAAAATACGAGGAAAACTTTTTAATAACTATACGTAACGTTTCGAATGTGAATTTTAAGCTTCATTCGCAGTTCGGATCTTGTCGGGGATCGTTCGGTCAGCTAAAAAGGCTTATTAGCCGTAGTTGGTTCGACATCCTTTGATGTTATTATTAAATCTATCATATATTTTTTTACTATGTATAGTATAAAATTATATTTGTGCATCGCGGCGACTTGCGTATTTGTGTTTCTTGAATTCCCAAAATTTAAGGGAAATGGTGAGTGTTGACAACTTTTTCACAAGCTTTTATTAGTTTTATTCGCTGGAGACTAAGGGGATATTCTAACTACGCCCGGACCGGTAAGTGAGCTCACGGGCTCAACCTAAAAGAATTTGCTAACACTAGCCCTACTAAGAGCAGTAGTCTGTCACTGAATCTACCACCGGATCGGACTCGCGACCCACTCAGTATGTATGTACACATGTGTGCTATATTTATCTGTTTGTAACGGAATCCTTGAATGTCCTTTTTAACGATCTCAATACGGTCCCATTGCACATGATTCAAGAACAAATAACACTAAAACTCCTTTCAACAAAAACAGGATAAAATCTATACTAATATTATAAAGAGGAAAGATTTGTTTGTTTGTTTGTATTGAATAGGCTCCGAAACTACTGAACCGAATTGAAAAATTCTTTCACTGTCTGGAAGCTACACTATTCCCGAGTGACATAGGCTATAATCTTTTTTTTAAAAAAAATAGGGATCTTTACTAAAACTTCAATAATGTAACCCAAGGTGTAAAAAAATTACCTAAAATATTCTTTACATCGCGTGCCCTGCGAAAACTATTCATGATAGAATAAAATAATATACGAATTTGTAGAATACATATTATTTACAAAAAGTGTCGTGACAGCATATGTCTAACTATTATAGTTATGCTGCAATGAGTGTTCTTTTATTTAAAAAAATAAAACAACGTCAAATAGCGTTGAATTTTTTGTTAAAGACCCGAGCGAAGCCGGAGCGGGCCGCTTGTAATATATATATATATTTTTTTTATTGCTTAGATATGTGGACGAGCTCACGGCCCACCTGGTATTAAGTGGTTACTGGAGTCCATAGACATCTACAACGTAAATGCGCCACCCACCTTGAGATATAAGTTGTAAGGTCTCAGTATAGTTACAACGGCTGCCCCACCCTTCAAACCGAAACGCATTACTGCTTCACGGCAGAAATAGGCAGGGTGGTGGTACCCACCCGCGCGGACTCACAACAGGTCCTACCACCAGTAAAATGTCTTTTCTAGTTCGCTTAGCGATTATTTAAAATTTATTATTTATTGTATCAGATGCGTGGACGAAATTACAGGCCACCCGGTGTTAAGGGGTTATCAGTGCTTATAGATCTCACCACGTGAATACTGTTAAATAGCCGAAGACATGAGATCAAAGTCTCTAAAAGAAAGAAAGACCAAAATAGTAATAACAAGCGGCACGCTCCGGCTTCGCTCGGGTCTTTAACAAAAAATTCAACGATATTTGACGTTGTTTTATTTAAAAAAAAAAAAACACTTGTTGCGGCATAACTATAAAAGTTAGACATATGCTGTCGCGACACTTTTTGTAAATAATAATGCGGTCTACAAAGTCGTAGTACATTATTTTATTCTATCATCAATAGTTTTCGCAGGGCACGCGATGTAAAGAATATTTTAAATTTAATTCTAATTCTCTAATCTCTCTTCTAATCTAGTTTAATTATTAAATTTTTCAAATCGGTTCAGTAGTTTCGGAGCCTATTCAATACAAACAAACAAACAAATCTTTCCTCTTTATAATATTAGTATAGAAGTATAGACCACTGGGGATAGAGGGCGGAGCATGTCAGAGTCGAACTGACTAAAACCTCCTGTCGCTCAACAACCAACGTCCAAACCTCGCATGAGACAGAACTCATGAAGAGGCAAAGGGGGGAAAGTGAAGCGTTTAGTGCGGAGCACATCTCTCCCATCACCCTCCCCCTCGGGACGCCGGACCGGCGGTCGTCGGCGCCACGACCACCAGCCCTCTCGGTCGGCAGGCTATCCGAAGCCCGCCTAGATGGCGCCGGTTCGTGTGAGCTATCCTACGGAATACCCCGCTGGACTAGAACCAGCGTGGGTCGAGGATAGCCGGCCTTCCATCACCCGGATGCTCTTGCGTAAAACGCGTGCAGAGCAGCTTGCACGTCGTCTTCTCAGGCCCCCCTCGCCAGTCCCCAGACCGACATGTGAGGGGGGACCCGAAACACTTACAGGGCCAGGGCTTGGGCGAGATCCGCCTCCCTGGCCCCCGCTCGACGGCGGTGGGATTGTGCGTCTCTCACGCGCCCCGCCGCCTCCTTCTGCGAGATGGTGCACTCGCAGAAGTCGAGCATCGCCTTCCACGACTCGTCGTCGCCGAGCATCGATGCCACAACACTCGATAACGACAAGTCGTTTCCTACTTTTGCGACGAGGACACGGCGACACCCCTCCCATGCGGGGCAGGCGACGAGCGTATGCTCTGCCGTGTCCAAGTCGCAATCACAATGGTGGCACTCTGCCGTCGGCTCGGCTCTGATCCGGTGCAGGGACTCACCGAAGCAATCATGCCCAGTGAGCACCTGCGTGAGCCGGAAAGTGAGGCGTCCTCTGTCACGATTCACCCAATCCATAAGGACCGGGCGAATCGCCTATGTATAGACGTATAGTAATTTGTTTGCGTATTAAACGAATCTTAAATTACGTGTTTCGCAATAACCGCGCTGGAAATTACTTTGAGTGTGTGTAATATCGCGAGTTTCCTTGTTTTGCACCGGATGCTGTGTGCTCGAGGTAAATTCGCTAAAACCTAAGCTTATCTCGTTTTGAGAACCGGCGTAATGTATGATTATAACGAATTGAAATGTTGATAACACAACTCTACAAAAAAATGATAGTTATAGTAATAATACTCATTTTTCAATTTTTTTATAAATTTTAATTAATTTCAATCCTTCCAAAAAAGCCGCGCTATGAGAGTTTACGTTTACACAGTGCCACTAGATGGCACACGAGTCATAAACAACGATCGGGTGTTTTGTACAAGCCCAGAAAATCTTAAAATGTCACGAAAGTGTAAATATACGATGCTGATGCATTCTGTTTCATATTTGTGGTCAATTTATTAAAGTTAAAAAGCAAACTGTTTCATGCCAAGTATTTAGAAGTGAAAACTTCTTTAGAATCGTTGTGATTTCAAACCGGATGCAACGGAAAAAACGACAGGTAAGAGACACAAATACAAAGAATCAAACAGAAATATACATACTATTTAATACAGCGCCATCTGTGAGATTTTTTAATACTAACGTGTGTATGAAAGCTCTTGTAGTGAATTTTCATTTAGGATTATACGTGAAATTAAAATATCAATTCACAGAGGGCCTTACAATTATTTATTAATGACAAAATTTTACATATACTTAAGACGTTTAGGATAATTGTATTTTAATTTTGGAAGGTTTCACTTCTACCACGTGTGAATTGCACACATTTTGTTTTTTTTTTTTTCGTCATAATTACGATCTAAAATATCTAAATTTTATGCTTTGCAATCAAAGTCAAATTTGGTGTTGACCCGTGTAATGGTCAAATTTCATTAATTTTAATTACACATACAATAAAAAAAAATACGTTGACGTATTTACGTGAATGCGAACTCTTAGTATGGGCTGATATAATTTTGATTGGAGGCGTGGTGCAGGTCCGTAGAAATCCACGAACTCTCAAACACAAGAGCTCGAGCAATAAAGAATTATAACGCAAATGTTTTTGAATGTTAATTCTGTTTTAGTTTGCATTATATTCTCTGTCTCTTTTTCTCTCATTCTTTTATTTATTTATTTTTTATTGCTTAGATGGGTGGACGAGCTCACAGCCCACCTGGTGTTAAGCGGTTACTGGAGCCCATAGACATCTACAACGTAAATGCGGCACCCACCTTGAGATATAAGTTCTAAGGTCTCAAGTATAGTTACAACGGCTGCCCCACCCTTCAAACCGAAACGCATTACTGCTTCACGGCAGAAATAGGCAGGGTGGTGGTTCCTACCCGCGCGGACTCACAAGACGTCCTACCACCAGTAAAACCTGTATCAATCTCTTTCTCTCTCATTTCCTCTCTATCCTTATCTCTCTATTTCTCTAAAACCCAATTTTTTAAAGCAGTCCCAACGTTATTCCAGAGCACAGATGTGGAATTGAAGCCAGCGGCAACCTTATCCATCACAACCCCTGGTTAGTCTACTTGGAGTACTACGTGGGCGATCATCAGAAGGAATACAGGTGTTCCGGCACGCTGATCAGCCCTCGGCACGTTGTAACAGCAGCTCATTGTGTCAGGAAAATAAAGTTCACCCGGTAAGAGTTTTACTCGCGTTTGTTAGACTAGAAAATCTTTGTGTCTTATTATGGGCGGTGATACTGGAACATCTTCAGGCTCCCATAACCCAGTCATCGTTCTCGTTAAACTCGTCGCTTGTGACGAAGGGCTCGGCGAGTAAATTAACCCATAGACACAGCCCACTGAGTTTCTCGCCGGATCTTTTCAGTGGGTCACGTTTCCGATCCGGTGGTAGATTCTACGAAGCACGCCTCTTGCTAGGGTTCGTGTTAGCAACAACGCCAGGTTTCAGCCCCGTGAGCCCTTCTTGCACAGTGACGCTGATGTGGTCTCTCAAGACGAGGCAGTCTCCTCCCGGTGATGGTCACGGGGCGACCTAAGGGGGTTGAGGCTGCGCCACACGCTACCGTCACTCTAGCGCGCTGGCACCAGGAGGACGGGACGGCGCGTCGGCGGCTGCGGACTGCGATGCGGTCCGCATTTTCGTCGTCGCTGTTGTCGCCGAACATACTGTTGAAGAGCAACCCGGTCGGCGGTGTATCGCGTTCCGACCCGGCAGGCTGGTTCTGGCCCAGCGGGGTATCCCGGAACACCAGCGGCACCGCCCAGGCGGCCTGGTAGGGCCGCCGTACCGCGGAGACTGATGTCGTTGGTCGTTGACTATCGCCTCGACGACCCGTCGGTCGGGCGTCCTCGGGGTGGCGCCGCGTGTCTGGTTGTAGTGTTGACCTGACCGCGGGAACCCCCCTACTCTGAACGGGTTCTGACCCCGGACGGAGATCGGACGTCGGGTGTAAGAGTGCAGGGGAGTCGTTTAGTGGGTGGGCCCTAAAATCCTTGGGCCCGCGATCTGCTCTCAACCCCTGCAGATCGTTGAGTCTCACATACCCCGCGCGCCCCCTAGGCGCGGGGACCTCGTAGGAGGTTTGGCCCCCGGCCCGAGAAAAAAAAAAAAAAGGTCTCTCAAGACGATCAGCTTAGGTACGAACAAAAAAAACCTCCGATAACCCCTTAGTATCAGAAAGGTGATATCACATATCTTCTCGCATTAAAACTGTATAATCTCAAAACTTACTAATTTTGCAGGAGAGTGTTTTAACATGTGATATTTTTAATATTAATCATCTTTGCAACATTTATTTTTTATTTTGTACCAGTTACATTATCCGTCTTTTAAAATAAGAAAAAAAATTATTAATTTTGTTAATAGTAGTCAAAACATAGGAAAACTAAAAAAAAAAAAAAACTAAGTTACGCTTTTTTGACAGTATTTATTAGAAAAATAATACCAAATGATTCCGCATATTAACTCAATTTCGAATATTTTTGGAAATTTTACACTTTTAATTCGAAAAGACGATATATTTTGGTTAAGAATCCAGTCTCACTTGAACTTTTCCTACCCGCCACTTTGTTATTATTAGATGACAAAAAAATACCTTTATAATTTTTATAATGACTGCAATGTAAGATCAGTATTTAGGCTATCTTCCCTCCTAACTTATCTACGACATTAAGCTCAACTTTGATGAAGCGTCGAAGAGTTTGTAAAACTGAACAAATTTCAGTGGAGTTTTAACTAAATTCAATGAACTATATCGAGGGATGAAAATCTCAAATATGGCTTAAGCGACAATTCAATTAATACCCAATATTTATCTTTGTAATTAATGGAGTTTTTATTTGGTATTAGTATCTACAATTCGAGATATTTAATTGAACTTCAAGTTTTTTTGTCATAATATTTTTTCCGACTTTCAAACTTTATTTGGCTCTCCTGTAAAGTTGAAAAAATGTCGCTTTTTTATTTATGGTTTACATGGGTGAACGAGCTTATGGCTCACCTGGTGTTGAGCGGTTACTGGAGCCCATAGACATCTACAACGTAATTGCCACCACCCACCTTGAGACATGAGTTCGAAGGTCTCACAGTACAACGGCTGCCCCGTCCCTCAAACCGAAACGCATTACTGCTTCACGGCAGAAATAAACAGGGTGGTGGAAACCAGATAACCTTTTACCAGTCGATATAAGTAAAGAATTTGAATTCAACAACAATAAGCAACATTACGTTTGGGATTTTCAGTCTGGCGGCTCGTCTCGGCGACTATGACGTGTCAACGGAGAAGGACTGCGTGACGGGCTTGTGCTCTGATCTTACCCTGTCCATCCAAGTTTCGGAGATAATCGTCCACCCCGACTACGATGGAAAAGAAGGGGATATCGCGATTCTGAAACTGGACACGGACGCGCCATATACAGGTACTAATAAATACTACTACGTTATTTTATCAAATCCTTCGTAACTCATCTATTGGTTAGTCGAAGTTTTATTTATTTATTTTTTATTGCTTAGATGGCTGGACGAGCTCACAGCACAACCTGGTATTAAGTGGTCACTGGAGCCCATAGACATCTGCAACTTTGAGATATAAGTTCTAAGGTCTCAAGTATAATAACAACGACTGCCCCACCCTCCAAGCCGAAACACATTACTGCCTCACGGTAGAAATAGGCAGGACGCGTGGACTCACAAAATGTCCTACTATCAGTAAAAAGTATGAGATGTTGAAGTATGTTTATTATTATTTATATAATAAAATCACTTTCCTTTCAGACTTCATTCGGCCCATCTGCCTTCCATCCAATCCGATTAAGGGCAACGTCACTCTTTACGCCACCGGCTGGGGGGAGATCCCCACTATAGGAATGTACAGTAATATCAAGAAGATCCTGCCATTACCCAACTGGTCTCTCGAGCAATGCCATAGAGTCTTCGAGAATCTGCCAGATAAGGTGCTCTGTGCTGGAGGCGAAGAAGGCGTTGATACTTGCCGCGGAGACTCTGGTGGCACTCTTGCTCTGGTGAAGGAGAGAGTGGAGTTCGTCGGAGTCACCAGCACTGGGTGCCAGCGATGCGGAACCAAGGGCTTCCCAGCTGTATACGTCAGTGTCTATGACTACATAGATTGGATAAGCTTGGTCACGAAACACTGAACTGCGAATGAATTGATGACCAAGGAATTTTCGATCTTTTGAATAAACAAATTTTTCATAAGAAATAACCAGTCTATATAGATAGATAACCGTTGTACTATACTGAGATCTTACAACTCATGTCTGAAGGTGGGTGGCGGAATTTACGTTGTAGATGTCTATGGGCTCCGGTAACCACTTAAAAACAGGTGGGCTGTGAGCTCGTCCACCCATCTAAGCAATAAAAAAAATATTCCAATCAATCTATGTTTTATATGCAATATTTAAAAAAAAGCCAAAAAGATTTGTTTAGTGGCTTATGAGACCTCAATACGAAGACTGTCAAACACTTTATCGAAGTTCAATACAGTTAAAAATTTCATTATGGTTCCGATAAATTAACAATATTACAATTGAGGCCGTCTGCGCAAAAGTGGCCTAAGCTTACGATAGTTAGTATGGATGAATTTGAATTTGAGTAGGCAAAAAAACAATACGCGCAAAAATAATGTTTACAAAGCTATCTGTTATCTATGGGTGAGATAGGGATTGGCCGATTTTGCATCATTACATCTATATATATAAAATGAATTGCTGTTCGTTAGTCTCGCTAAAACTCGAGAGCGGCTGGACCGATTTGGTTAATTTTGGTCTTGAATTATTTGTGGAAGTCCAGGGAAGGTTTAAAAGGTAGATAAATATGAAAATGCATTTTGTTTTCCTTTTGATGTGTCCCCCGTCGGACGGATTCCTTTTGTTTGTTTTAAGTTTATTTTATACAATAATGTAGGTTTTTTATTTATTGATTGAGGCACTACGAAGTCTACCGGGTCAGCTATTTTTAAATAAATTCCAATAAACGTCATATAAGCTTGAATTAAAAAAAAATTGGGTTAAGCCACTTTTGCGCTGATGGCCTCAATTAAAAGTATTCGATAGGGTTAAAGAAGTTTTATCTGGTGTCCGTAGGTACTTTTGTTATTAACCTTTTATTTTATATAAGACTGTTCTATAATATTGTTTAAGCGTCTACATAATTAAATTTATCCTTTATTATATTTGTAAAAAAATAAAAAATGAAACCGACTTCAACAAAGTTTATATATCGTCAATGCATACGAAGTCAATTACAAAATGAATTATTTCGGATTACTCATTAATTACCGGTCAGATCTTGATAATATTTAAAAAGGACCGCATAAGAAACACCTGTTTTGAAATAAAAAAAACAATCGTGAAAATCAATCCTTCTAGAAAAAAGTTCTGCGGTAACGTAAATACACCAAAAAATATGATCGAATTGATACCGTTATATTACGAAGTCGGTAAAAAAATAATCAATATAAAAATATATAACATAAAAAATAAAAAATAAAATCTATATAATAGAAAAAATCCTAAAAATATCTTGGCTGCTTAATATTAATATTTCAACCACGTGCTATATGTGAAACATGTCAAATATTTAACATACTTAAGTTCTTTGAAGGCACGTTGAAGAAGTTAGGAATGCTGAATCTTTCATTAATTACATTATTTCTTTATAGCCATCCTTGGATTTTTTTCTTTACATCAGATCATAAGTTATAATTACAATTGTTTTTAAGTTAAAACACCATTTCAATATCATTAATTAAAACAATTAAAAAATAATTATAAACACTTACACACACATATAAAGGGTGTTTCAATTTACACCGTGAAACACCGTGGAGGGGAGCTCATTCCATAGCCGGATGGTACGTGGCAAAAAAGATCTCTGGAACGCACTGTGGATGACCTCAGTGGCTCCAGGTAGTATGGATGAACTCTACTCCGGTGGCGGGCGGTGCGATGGTAAAAACGAGATGCCGGTATCATCTCGAACAATTCCTCAGAGCACTCCCCATGGAACATGCGGTACAAAATACAGAGGGAACCGAAGTCCCTTTTGAATTTTGAATTAATTGAATTACAACTATCGGTGAAACGGAATTCAATGTTTGGTTAAGGCAATAGAGGCATGTTGATTCGTTATTATGTATACATAATTCAAAGACTATTTAGTTAAAGGGAGATTTCGCTAAATATGCGACTTTTTTTTCCTACCTATGCTGATAGCCTTGAGAGGCTATTTCAGCTTCTCCTTGACGTGTAGGTGGGCTCACGGGGCCCAAGCCGGGAGTGTTGCTAGCACTGGCCCTAGCAAGAGCAGTGCTTCGCGGAAAATACACTGAGAAGATCCGGCGAGAAACTCAGTGGGCTGTGTCTATGGGTTAATTCGCTCGTCGAGCCCTTCGTCGCAAGCGACGGGTTCGACGAGGACGGTGACCGGTGCTTGTGGTACTTAAAAGCACCGTTAGTGGATCGGGAGGATCCGTAATGACGTACGAATACGCGCCATTTATCTTTGTAATTAAAGCTCCGTTTTATTTAATATTAATATCCACAGTTTGATGTTTTTAATTTAACTTAAATTAAGTAAATTCCATAAAAATAAATGAAGAATTTTTTTGTTACGATATATTTTCCAAATTTTTAATTTTGATACTTTGTAAAGTTGCAAATATGGCGCTTAAACATAATAGCCTTTCTGTCCTCGATATTATAAGATTAATTGAAGAACTATTGGTAATTTATAAATTATTTACCTATATGTAACTAGAATTACTTTTACGGTATGGCTTCGCTTTTTTTTTAATGTATCCATATTATTTCCGACATTTCAAATGCTCTACAGTTTTTATGGTCGCATACTAAAATAATACCGCGCGATTAAATCGTAAAAGTAAATCTAATTATAATAATAATAATATTTTACTAACGATCACGCCACGTTAACTGGTCCCGTGATAAGTTCGTAAAGAACTTGTGTTACAGGTACCAGATAACGGAAATAAATGTAAGATTTTTATTATACACATACACATATTTAATATACAACCATAACCCTGGAAAAGACATTTATATTTATCATACAAATATCTTCCCTTGGCGGGATTCGAACCCGCGACCCCTTTTGGTAGTGACCATGTCACTTACCACTACACCAGACGGCCGTTTTTTTATTATGTCTATAGCTGGTGAAAATAATACCTACAAGTGTAGAGTGGTGATAAATTTTACATGTAGTTCTCATTATCAAACACTATCGCACACTCAGGAGCTCATACGAGTGACACAAAGAAACTTTACAATGTATTCGTTATTACACGTGGTTATTACTATAGTAAATAATGAGTTATTATGTAATCGTGTTTTCTTGAGAATATTTCACAAAAAAAAAGGTTAAAAATAAAGTAACTGTCAATCGATTTCTTTTTCGTTTTATTTCAAAATTTCACCCAAAATCTCAGACGAGCCTTTCAAAATCTCGTCAATGTACAAGTTGCCGATTTACTTTGAACTCGACAAGAGATTTGTTATGTTTTTATATTTTATTGCTCAGGTGGGTTGACGAGGTTATGGACTATCTGGTGTCAAATTGTTACCGGTGCCCATAGACATCTATAACGTAAACGCCGCCACCCACCTTGAGATAAGATGTGTAATGTCTCCATTTTTTACTACAACGGCTGCTCCGCTCTTCAAACTGAAACGCATTACTGCTTCACGGCAGAAATAGACAGGGTGGTGATACCTACCCATGCGTACTCATAAGACAGCCTTAGTATCAGTAACCAGTTGTATTATCAATGTCTTTGTCTCAATCGTGTCACTTATGACTGAGTGGTCGTGTTGACATTTAGTGTTGGAGGGCAAAGTATTGACGGGCCTCACGAAGCACCGCCATATCCCATTATTACCAATTCATCATCATTCTCCTGCCCTTCTTCCAGTCACCTGGGGTCCGCGTAACTTGTTTTCTCCTTCCATACTCCTCTATCATATACCATTTCTTCGCTCACTCCCCTGTTACACATATCGTCTTTCATGCAATCCATCCATTTTTCTTAGGTCTACCTCTTCCTCTAAAGCTTTCTAAATTCATAACTAAAACTCTCTTACCAACCTCATTGCCATTTCGTCTCATGACACGTTCATACCACCCCAAACGCGCACTTCGCGACTTCTCTGTCACAGGTGCTACTTTCAGACTTTTCAGTTGCAAATAAAGCAAGGGGTACCATGGCAGGTTAGCTTTTTACTCATCTCTTTCTTATCTCGTTTCTTAACTTTATCATCTATAACAAAGCACTTAAAACCTTTTTTGACAATAATTTGTAGGTCTCAAAGGTAGCAATGCAATTTTATTGTTCAGGAAATAGAAAAGATAAGTCGTTGGTAGGTCCATCAGCTCCTTTATAAGACTTTATTAAAGCTCCCAGCTGTGGTTCCTAGCTGCGTGACAGTTACAGATTTGGAATCAAGTGAGGTGAGTGAAAATTGCAGGCTATTGAATGTAGGCCATATCATTCTAAAGGGATTGATATTCAGTATATTGTTTGAAAAGATTTATTGTGACTAATATACCTATGTTAGATTAATCTTAATTTTGAGGGATTTTATTGTGTATCTGTGAGTCACCAAGGAATTCCCACTTTATGCAAATGAACACGAAATAGGCAAGAGACCGCAACCTTTTGAAGTGACTCAGACAAAGAATGTTTTTCTTTTGGCGCCACAGCTCTCAGGGAAAAACTGTGGAATAAGTTGTCAGCTTAGCTGTCACACTTCGAAACCCCTAGTTAGTTGTCATTCTTGACTACAACGATACTCACTAAACCGCAACCCGCGAATATTTCGTGGTAGGAGGTTGTCGGTATTTAACCGGCCGGGTTCAAAGTGCACTCCGTCACAAGAAGCGACCTGAATACATAAATTTTACGGGTTTCTTTTTGGAACGAAGTTCCTTACGGGGCGATGCGGAGGGGTGCCCTAACCGAGAAAAAACGTCCGTAACGTAAGATTTTTATTATTTATGTATAGTCTTAGCATGATGGCTATACAGTGTCTAATGTATAGTCTACGTGATGACGGCTATTATTATTATTCATATAAATAGCTGTTTCTTTGTATATTATTATTATATATTTTTTATAAATCATTGTGAATAAAATAAAGTTGATAACTTTGTAAAGTAGTTTTTATTTATTTTTATCAATAAAAAAATCATAATAAAAAATGTATACCCGAAGAATTATTTTCTTCATACCTCGAATAGAACTTAAAATTAATGTTTTTATAAT